CCCCCCAGTGTCCACCTCCTCCCATCAGTGTCCTCGCCCTCCCGCCTGTGTCCACCCCTCTGGGGTTGCAGTGCTGTGACACCTCCCAGGACAATGCATGGGACGGAGAGGTCGCTGTGCCCTCCTGACCGGGCTGAAACGTCTCTCCTGCTCTCTCCAAGGAGGCCTTGGGCTGCCTTCCAGCCACCAGTTCTGGTTAATGTGTACGGGCTCCCATTCGATCGATTTGACTGCAGAGCTGGGACGTTCCCCCGCCACGTCCTCTTGGAGCTTACTGTTTGGGACGTGTTCTCGCGTAACAGCCTGCCTGATTGTATGCACGCGTCTGTCTTCCTTTCACTGTTCGGCATAGATTATGATATTTTCTTTTTGAGAGTGACAGTTGGTCATCAGCAGGCCGTAGGATTGTCTGAATCTAAATGACCAATAGCAATCCATCTCAGCCCATTGTTGCCCAGCACTCCTATGGTCAGGCGTGCCCTCAAGTGGGTGCCGTATGTCACAGATGATGATGAGGGCACAGCATAGGCCCGGGTTCAGACCCACGGTTGGTGTCTTATGGTGGAGACAGTGTGTGTGGCTCCTTGCTCTGGGAAGACTTGGTCTTTTCAAAGTGAGCAGAATGCCTTGTCCTTCCTGTGTGTGCTTGTCCTCCCAGGCCTCAGCAGCTGACCCCTGGTGACAACTGTCCTTAGAGTTCCTAGAGAGTTGCCTGAGGCCAGGAGCTGAGTCGTTTCCTGCCCAGGTCGCTCTGCCAGTGGCCAGTCTGCTCTTTTGCTTGTTTCCAAGCTGTCCAGTGTTGTGTGGAACACCATGGCCACATGGGGGGAGGGGAAGCAGGTCCTGCTGGCTTTCTCCCCTACTGCCGGTGTCCACCAGGAGGGGCTTCCAGGGCAGCGTTCCGAGGCATGGCCCGCGCACAGAGCTCATTTCCTGTGCACAGAAATTGGGGGTGGCATCTGAGGGCAGCCTGGCTGGGCTGTGGAAGCCTTAACTAGGGTAGTGACCATGCCCTGGCCAAGAAGCTGGCATGAGCAGGAGACTCATGGTCTCGTGGTCCTGTGGTGACAGTCAGACCACACTGTCCCTTATCCCTGGAGCTGCAAGAGAAGGGAAGGGAGTCCATCAAAGAGAGCCCTGTGGCCTGGTTACACACTGCTCCAGTGAGACCTTCCGGCTGGCCATCAGGAGCCTCATTCCCACTTATGTGACATTGGTCTCTCCTGCAGGGCAATGCTCCTCCAAGATACAATGCTCCCCTTGGTCTTGCTCCTGTCCATGGGACTGACCATCACCGCCACTATCGTCACCCAGCCTGTGGTGGACACCAACTTCAGCCAGCCTGTGGAGGACGTCAAGCTCAGTGGGCTACCGGTGGACAGTTACCTCATCCCACTTCTGGCAAATGCCAAAACCAGCTGGCCTCCAACAGAGAACACCCTCCCTGAGCCCCGGTCTGAGTGTAAGTCTCAGCCCTCTCCACCTCCGCAGAGAGGAGGACACACCTGGATTCTCTGGGACCTTGGCCATCACACTGTAGGGTCTTCTGCAGCACAGCTGGGGCCCTGATGGCATTGGCGGGTGAGAGTAAAGGGAGGAGGGCTTTCCCCAGCAGCAGGCCAGGAGACGAGTCCAGAGACATCCGGGCAGGCACTGGGCTCTCAGGAGTGATCCCTCCTGTTTGTGGAGTGAGCCATGTTAGCCAGCAGCCCTGGAATGAGCTGACGGGTGTCTCTAAGAGAAGGAAGCTGCTGTTTGGGAGGGGCTCTGACCCAGTGCCCTCTGCCCACCCCCAGACTCAGGGGCTTTACAGGGTTCAGGTGCTGCCTTGGGCTTTAGAGCACCACTCTCCTCCTCTCTCCCCCACAGGGCAGTATAATGTGGTCTGCTACAGCTGTTCCTTAGTAAACACCTTCTCTTGTATCGCTGAGATGACCTGTGAAAAAGAAGTCAGACGATGTATGACCGTCGCCATTCGTAAGTACTCGTCTTAGGAGGGCCTGCTGAGTGAATGCCCTGTGCTCGCATAGTGTGAACACACGGCCTGTCCTTGGTCACTCAGTCCTACCTCTTCGCTCACTTTTAAGACAGCTACATTCATGGCCAGTGACTATGCCACTGTGGGGACAGTCTATTGGCATCCATCCTGAGCTGTCCTTGGGAGCTAGGTGCATGCCTGGACCCCATGCTTCAGCCTCTCTTTCCTTGGGGTACATGCGTCACACCTGTGCATCTGGGGCTCATTCTGTGAGGTCATGTTTGCCTTCACCAGGAAGGTGCATGTGGGGATAAAGAAGCATCTGAGTCTGCAGAGTACACTCTGCTACCACAGTGGCAGTGACAGCCAGTGCCCTGGATCTCCTTGGTGTGACCGAGAGAGAAGCTGAGCATGCCCACCCGCAGCCCTCACCTTGAACTTCATCAAGGCCATGCTCCTAAGAGGAGGTTTGAATAGGAGCCAGAGTCTTGGTACATAAGATCTCATATGTGGAGAAAGAAAAGCAATCTTCACGTGAAACGAGGAAATCTCTCTCTCTCTCTCTCTCTCTCACTCTCTCACTCTCACTCTCTCTCTCTCTCACACACACACACACAGTCTCTGTACATAAGATCTCCTATGTGGAGAAAAAAAGCAATCCTCACATGAAACTAGGAAATATCACACACACACACACACACACACACGGAGAGACAGATGCAGACACACACACACAAATGCAGACAGACAGACACAGAGACAAACCCAGACAGACACAAAGACAGACAGACACACACACCCCACAGAGACAGACAGATACAGACACACAAACAGACAGACAAACACAGAGACAAACCCAGACAGACACACACAGACACAAACACACAGAAAGCTACAGACACACAGAGACATACTCAGACACACATAGACACAAACACACATAGAGACACACACAGACAAACACAGACATACAAACACACAGACTGACAGACACACAAGGGCACAGGCACACAGGCACACACCCCTGAGAAAAGCCAGGAGGATTCCTGATCCAGCAGTTAGCAAGGCTTGCAAACAGTCATCACAGTCAGAAGCAGCGGGAAAGCAGACAGTCGGCTGCACTGGGCAGAGACGCCTTCTAGAGAAGCATGGTGTCTTTCGTTGCCCCATATGCACGTAAACACTAGAACATGGTCTAGTCAGAAGAATGACACAAGAACAATTGGTACCTTTGGATCAGAGTTTGGGTGAAGAACACAGAATATACTGTGGACACACAAAACCCAGAAAAAGTTGTGTGACCTGCAAGTGGCCTTGAAGAAGCAGAGCCAGTTTTGCAACAATGAAAGACTCTAAAGAGGAAAGCAAACGGGTGGGGGAAGGGAGGAAAATGTGCAATGATTAATGAATGGAAATCCCAAGTGTTCTGTAAACTTCATTAATGTATTAATTACAAAAAAAGAGAGAACATATTTGGAATATATGAAACGACAGGAGAGACAGTTGATGTGTACAACAGGTAAGCTCCTGTTTTGTTTAGAAAATCTTAAAGGAGCAGTCAAATGCCAGCCTTTCCGTGTTTTGACATCAGTAAATACATTGATTTTGGTGTCACTCTGAAAAAAATAAAAAGTACAGCCAGAATCCAGAATGTTCCTTAGAAGCAAGGATCTCACGTACTTTGGAAATGTTAGCAGGAGCCGGTCTGTGGAGAAGGCCATTCTAGTTTGTAGAGAAAAGGCCCAGTCCAGTCCCACAGCCCCTGAGATGAATTTGAAGGGTGGGCTGCCACGTCGGGCTCCAGCACAGCATGGAGGCTCAGAGCCAACAGGGTTTCGGCCTGTGCTTCGAGTTCCTGTGAGCAGGAACAACTACGTGGCCTTGACATAACTTCAGCAACTACTGACCGTTAGTGGAGCACTGAAAACTAGTAGGGGGAAAAGGAGAAATTTCAGGAAAACAACCTAGAAATCATAAGAAAGAATGAAACCAAATGGAGCCAAAAAAGATCAGGAAAGAGAAAGGGTGCCTCTGAGACTCGAGGAGCAGCAACGAGCAGTGAGGGGTTCTTTCTATCATCTGAGATGCAGGAGAAGCGAGAGAGACTGCAGGAAAGAAGGAGACGGCGATCAGAAGGGGATGTTGTTTGTTTCAGTCAATTTAGTTTGTCTCGTGGCGACGCTATGAAGGCGCTATCTGAAAGCTGCCCTGTCTGGCACCACCTCTGTCCTCCCTGACATGCTCAAGTCTTGTGTTACTGTCAGTCCATCTTGGTGAGGAGCCTACTCTCACCTTCCACCCTTCCCACCACATGCCCCCCAAGTCCTACCCCCTCCTCACGTCCAAAGTATGTGAGACAAGGCTGTGTCAGCCTTGCCTCTACGGAGCGCCTGGTTGCACTTCGTCAAGACATCTTTGTTCCTTTGTCAGTCGGGGGACATTCCAAACCCTTGGCTGACATCACAGTTTAAAGGCATGAATTCGTCTTTGTTCTGTTATCATTGCCCAATATGCATACATAGAAAGTAGAAAATCCGTGCACTGAGTGCACCTTAGTGTTTAAATGGACATCCTTGCTCTTTACCACTTTAAAGAGGCCCTCAGAGCAGATTGGCTAGTCCAGCATGTCTTCATTTCTTGACCACTGCTGCCATGGATGTTGATGGCAGTTCTAAGTACAATAACAACCCCAGTCTTCTCCCCATCCATCCTAATTTCACCTGTTGGTCTGGCTGGGAAACTTGCTTTTCTTGCTGTTGCAGTGTGACCCACACTGAACACTGTGGTCTTTGTTCCCCTTCAGTCGGTGCTCCTTGGCCTTGTTAACTGCCCAAAGCAGAGGATGCCACGTGCATAATGCAGGTTGTTGGTGGGCGTTCCTCCTCTCCTTCCACTACAGTCATCTTCACATCATCCACCTCTCTCTGAAGATCTGTTCTGAATACACTGAAGGTGTTGTTAGGTGTTGCCCAGTAAACCAGGACTCAGAGTGACTCAATGAAAAATAGAGCATAGTTGAGTGACCGGGAATTCTCATTTCTCTTCATGTTACTCGTAACTTATCATTGTATTCCTGGTGTAATGCCTTTGAGAAAGAACTAAAACACAAGTAAACCTTGTTCGAGTCTTCTCTGCTTTTCATGAGGATCCTACACCTCGAAGTCCCCTGCTCCGAGGCCTCTTCTGAATCCAGCTGGGGTTTTATCTTCGTCCTGTGGAGATACTGCTATGGCCACTTTTGGAATAATCTTCAGCAAGAGTTTACTTTTGTGTGATAGTCATGATATCATTCAGTAATCTCTGCATTCTGTCCTTGATGTCAGTCTGTCCTCTTTGTTTCAACTGCTGCATTTCAGGCATCAGTTATCACTAAGGCATCTTGATTGCAGGCCTGAACAATCTCCAACTTCAAAAGTTGTTCGACATCTTCAATTTCTTCCTCACTGACTTAGCGGTATAGTTGGCGTGTATTGAAACAGTAGCCATTCTAACTGGTCACTCTTCAGTATGTGTGGATAATATCCCACCACAGACATCGTTATACTAGGACTTTCTTTTGCTGATGTGATATGATAATACACTGCAAACATCCACCAATGGCCAGAACGTGGGATGTACAAAGAAGGAATCTAGGAAGATTGAAAGTTGTCAGAAGTGCAGTGGCATCTATAAAGATTTCTAGCCTAAGCATTAGTGAGGAGGGAGAGACGGATAGTGGCCGCTTTCAGTCAGTCAGTCCTATGTCTGTTCTTTTGGGAATTACAAGTAGAAGAGGAATGGTAGAGCACCCATCACCAAAAAGAATACTTCAAGATCAAGGGTTAAACTAGTTGGGGATATAGCAAGCTCTGCTGGCGGGAGGGGAGGGGGCGGGGGGAAGTCAGGGTAAGCAGAGAAAATACCCTCTTGTTTGTGTTAGGTGCCGTGGAGTTGACAACCCGTAGTAACCCTTCGTACAAAGATGGAAATCTTACTTTACCCTGCACCATTTCTGTACTGCATTCTGCCCTGGAAAGGATGAAACGAAGCTGCTCCTCAGAGGCAAGGATTTCGAAGCTCAGTCTCACATAACTTTGGGCATGTGGCCAGGAGAGGCCAGACCTTGGAGAAAGACATCATGCTTGGAAGAGTGGAGTGTCATCGCAGGAGATGAAGACCCCAGAAGAGATAGATTGACCCAGTGACTGGGGTAATGAAGGTTAGGTGTGTCAGAGCCAGGGAGACTGGCTCAGGACAGGGCCAGGGTCAGAGCTGTTGTTCACAGGGTCGCTGGGAGTCACAGGCGACTCGATGGCACATAATGACAACCATGTTAAAGACAGATTGTCTCAGTCGTTGGGTCAGCCCACGTCCTTGAGAGTCTCCTCTCTTTTGCTAGCCTACTTTTCCATGCATAATGTCCTTTTCCAAGGACTGACCCTCCTGATAACATGCCTCAAATGACTGAGATGAAGACTCGCCACTCTGACCTTGAAGGAGCATCCTGGCTGCCCTTTCTCCAGATGTGTCTCCTCCTGTGGCTGCCCATGGGATACTTAGTCCTGTCTGGCAGCGCCCCAGTTCAGAGGCGGTCTGCTCTGGTTTTCATTAGTGACTTCGTTGTCCAGCATTCACATGTACGTGAATCAGCTGAGAACACCATGCCTTGGCCTGGTAAGCCTTAGCCACTACTCATAGCCTTGCTCTTTAGCATTTCATTGTTTTATCAATTTTTAAATTTTAATTATAATATTAACTAATGTTTACAGAAGAGCTGGGCTTTCATTCATTCATTCATTCACTGTTGCACATTTCCCCCTCCCTTCCCCATACTTCCTTTCTTTTTGTTCGCTTTCTTTATTTTTTCATATTAATTCATTTTTGCACAATTTCCCCCTCCCCCTCCTATTCACCTCCCCTAGTCCTCTTTGCAATGTGCCTCTTACTCTGACCTGTTGTCTATATGTACAGTGCCTAATCATATGCTCCTTCTAAATAGTTTTTTCCTTCATCTGTTCCA